TCAAAGTTTTTATTAATAAATGAGAGAAAAAATGTCAAATCATCATTAATCTTGCCTACTTGGTTCATTCCAAATAGCAGTTTGGCTGGTGTCTGACCTGTAGATCTATTTACGGTGTTGTTTATAGCAAATTCTACCTGATTTAAAACTTGATCCCAACGGTCAGGAGTTTCTGTCAATTTGGCAACCATGGGAATAATAAAACGATTAAATCGCTCGATTTGACCGTTTGCGCGTGGTACACCTGTAGCAATTAAGATATGAGTGATATTCTGAGATTCTAAGAAATCTGTGAAAGCTTTAGAAGTGAATGCTGATCCACGATCAGTAATTATTTTTGAGGGTTTGCTGTAATTGGAAAAATATTGAGATAAATGTTTCAGGACTTCAGAGGTGTTAGTTGTTTTACATGCATAAATTTTCACAAATTTTGAAAAAGCATCCACCACCGCAAATATATATTTGTTGTATTTTTGTTTGGATTTTTCCAATGGACCACAATGATTCAAATGCAGTACATTGAAAGGTTGGTCACCCTTTGGGATATTATGAAGCATACCTTCTTTTTTGCCACTATCTGGAGAATAGACTACACATTTCAAACAGTTCGAGATGTAGGCTTTGACTTTGTTACGCATATCGGGGAACCAATAATGTTCCTTAATGGCCAAACAACATTTATCGGTGCCCACATGACCAAGATCATCGTGGCAACTACGAATAACATTATTCTCCATTGACAAAGGGACATAAAATAGAAGTAAATCATTATGTTTCCTATAGACTAAACCGTTATTTAATTCAAACAATTTCGATTGATTTGTTTCTAAAGAAGTTCTTATTTCCAAAATTTTTGAGTCTTGTCCTTGTTTAACTCCGAGATTTGTTTCGAAAGAAGTCTCTTCTAACACTAAAACATTTGCAAAACAGCGACTCAACGCATCAACATGTTGCATTTGTGTTCCACTTCTGTGTTCTAATTTATAGTCAAAATTTTCTAAAATAAGACTCCACCTCATAATTTTAGGGTTTATGTCTTTTTTCTTTAGAGCCGCATTAACACTATCACAATCAGTATAAATTTTGAAAGAGATGCCCTGAAGATAAACTCGAAATCTAGTCAAAGTATTAATTATTGCTTTCAATTCCAAAATGAAGCTGTGTTGTTTTGACTCCGCTTCATTCGTACGTTGACTATAAAAGAAAACTGGATGAAACTTTTGAACAGTTTGTTTTTGTAAAATAATTCCAGCGAAACCATGAGAACTGGCATCACAATGGACTTGAGTTTCGGCAGTGGGAGAGTATATAGCTAAGACAGATTCGGAAATTAGTAAATTTTTCAAAGTGTTAAAACTCTTTATTTGTCCAGGACCAAAATAAAAAGGTACATTTTTCTTCAACAAATCATATAAGGGACCGGCTATTATTGAAAAGTTCTGCACAAATTTTCTGAAATAGGACGCCAATCCTATGAAACTATGTAATTGTTTTGTAGTTCGAGGCATCGGGTAATTTTTTATAGCTTTCAAATGTGCATCATTAGGCTTAATCTGAGAGCCGTTAATTAAGTAGCCTAAATGATTAATTTCTGTATAAAGGAAAGAGCATTTATCCAGTCTTAGTTGTAGGTTATTTTGTACCAATAAATTGAATATTTCTTTTAAAATCATTAAATTTTCTTCAATTGTTTTTGTTGCTATCAATAAATCGTCGATATAAATTAAAAGTTTATTCTGTTCTAATAAATCTTGGAAAATTGTACGAATAAACCTCATAAATGCTGAAGGGCCATTTTTTGTACCAAATGGTAATTTCAAAAATTCATATTGAGCATCAGGTGTCACAAAAGATGTGTATTTTATGGATGACTGTTCAATACTAATAGAATAAAATGCATTTTTCAAATCTAATTGGGTAAAGTAGTTTTTATCTCTTAATTGATCGATCTGATCCTCAATTAATGGGATAGGAAAATTATCACGTAAAGTAATTTTGTTTAAAGACCTGTAATCAATACAAAGTCTATAGTCCATAGTTTTTTTCTTAATAAGCACAACAGGCGAGCTATATTCAGAATTGCTTCTGCGAATAATATTCCTATCTAGTAAATCCTTGGCTATTTCTTGCACAGCCTGTCGTTCAGAAAAAAGAAAGCCTGCGTGGTTTGTAAAAGAAAGGAACATGGTTAGGATCTACCACAATTTTAAATTCGTATTTAGTCTGTGGCTCAAGAGGCCTTGGTGGATTTAAATAATCAGAAATAAAAAGGTCGGTTAACATTTTACTTTGAGTTGGATCCAGAGATGGATTTATATTCAAATCAATTTCATTTTGCTCTACATACTCTATATGCAAAATTTCTTCGGGACACTCAGATTTGCTTTTACTCAAGTTTAAAGGTGAAGGCAAAATGTTTACTTGTGTACCTGTAAAAGATATAATAATTTGATTGTTTGTCATAAAGTCACGCCCTAAAAGACATGTATAGGGTATAGTATCATTTGGGACCACATACAAAAGTAAATCAAAAACAATATCAGCAACATTAATTTGAAACAAAACTGAACCTAAGATTTCTAATTTTGTCTTATTTATGCCTTCATAAGACCTATTTGGTATTTCAGAAAATTTGAAATTAAACATTTTAATAGTATCATAAGTTATCAGTGATATTGCACTACCTGAGTCCACAATAGAGTTTACATAAATAGAAATGTTTTCCTTACTCAATTCAATTGGCAACATGTATCCACTTGTGACGCTTGGCTCCACTAATAATGAAGAAGTAGATGCATGTTCCGTCTTAGGCCTAACTAGAGTAGGCGTAAACTTTGGGCAATCTTTTTTCTGGTGCTGAAGCGACCCACAAATATAACAGGAGCCCTTTGCTCTTGGTGGCTTAATGCACTAGGAAGCACCATGACCTAGGATATTACAGTTAAAACATCTCAAAGCACTACCATTTCCAACCGCAGGCACGCCACTGGACCTATTAATTTCGGGCTTAAAAATTTGTGCAGGTTTTTTGTCTAATTGAGGTTCCTTTCTGTCCTTAATTCTGGTTTTACGTGCCAAAACAATCCTCTCATAATTAACGATGTCTTGGAACAAACTATCTTCGTCTTAATGGCTTTTCGACATGATGAAATTGCTCAACTCTTTGGACCAGAGCCCTATCGCTACTTGCTCTTTAATTTCCTCAAAGCAAAGTTCCAAGTTTTTGCATAATGCTACTTTACAATGGAAGTAGATTGAAACCCCCTCACTTGACAGCTGTACTCGTTCTTGCATTTTCTTCCAATTGTCTGTTTTGTTTTGAATGAAAACAAACGTTTTTTTGAAGGCATTCTTAAAGCTGGACCAATCAACAAGCTCTGCACTACGACCCTTGAACCAATACTTTGCAGCACCTTCTAAATTAGTTTTTGCTGTTTGAAAAATAAAGGCATCCGGCCAATTATGTAGCAAGGCTGTGCTTTCAATTTGCTGCAACCATATTTTGGTCTTACTCGAGTCTTCTTCACCGTTGAATTTGTCTATGCTCTTCGAAAGGTCAGGCATAATATTAAAATTTGAAATATTACCAGCTTGGCTTTGGGAATTCTTAGCAAAAGGGGTTGTAGCTGCTTGATTCTGCTGCAACTGAAGCATTTGCAGCATTTGTGCATTCTGTTGTACCAGCATATTAACAACGTTCACCAATTGAGCTGGATCTTGCACAGGATTCGGTGGTGCTTGCTCGGCATTATTATTATTATTTGGTTGCTGCTGTAGCCGCTCCGCCATAAAATTTTCAAAGTCCTCGACACTGTTCACATCCATTTTTATTTTTTAAATAGGATAATCGCTCCTTAAAGAAAAAAAAATCACAGGCAAACCATAATTTTGCCCAAAAACATAATTTTCACTATACTGCACTAGACGGCTCAAACTTGCTATAGCCCCCGAGTGTAGACTGTAGACCCCGACATGAACAATGCTGTAACCCCACACCTGAAGTTGTAGGGAAGGCCGGCGATGTTAGTTTACAAAATAAAAGAAGTTGCGATTCTATTTTAATTAACTTTTATTGGAAAAACTGGCGATTAACGGTTTGTTTCGTGGCACGTGGTTGTTGTTCTTCTTGATTCTAGAAAAAAACCTGGTCTGTGTCAAAAGTCAGAAATGTCATTCATAAATGACATTTCTATTACGTCACAGGACAGGGTTGCTACCTTTATGGTTGCTACATAACCTAATGAATGCTTCAATATGGCGCACAGATAGGATAAACACTATGAAAGTAAGGAAATTGCTAAATTGCTTACACAAATAAGATAAACACCAAAAGTTAAATACCTGTAAATACCCACGTTAATTCAAAAAAAATCAAAAAGGAATTAAAAAAAAAAAACACACGCCTGAACTCTAAGACGAAATCAGCTCTTTCCTCACAATCCAATAAAAACTAACCTAAAATATTAATCAGTAAATAAATATTCCAAAAGGAAATCAACAAAATATCTTATGAAATAATAGAACTCCAAAGTCGAGTTCAAAGCAAGCTTCAACCAATAAGCAAAAATATTTAAATATTCAACTTGTATTTACATATACCAATTTGACAGGTAAGTAATTAGGTAAGTATATCTATATATTTTTTTTTAAAATTCTCATAATAAAAAACACTAAGAAGAAATTTAATCATCAATAATTCAACTAAAAAGATAACTTCAGAATAAATTGTTGCTTCTAAAATACCATTTAAACTACTTTTGAAAACTTTAGAAAATATTTTCAACCAGAAAAATATTAATTAATGATTATTATTACTCAAAAAAAAATATCTAATTTCCTACACAAAAGCGAAATAACCTTCCTTACTCAATAATGAAAATAATATTAAATAAAAACCCAATAAATCATTTTAGTTTCCAGTCTTTTCCACTCAATTATTTTCATATAAAAATGTACATAATGTTTCAGCTCAAAAGTTATAAATAAAGATTAGATCCTACCTTAATTAAGTAGTCATTCCTCTATCATTAGTGACACCCAATTTTCACTCAAAGTAAACACTTTCCAGGGCACCATCGATCATCTGACATCAAAAATAGCACTTTCAAAAATTTTTCTTCTAGCAAAAAAAAAAACCGCCAACGCCTTTCCAGTAGCTCCCTCTAGTAGCTTTGATGCTTACTACCAACTTTGGTTAGAGTTGCACTTATCGATACCGATGTAAAAACACTGTATCGATATTGCATCGATACGGCCTTCACGATGTCTTTGCCCCGCACTTCGCCGATCAACGTCAACGTCAACCATCACAATCGCACATCAATGTCAACATTATCCGGCCAATAGGAATGCCGCGATGCCACCAATACCAGCAAAATACCGCCAAGATCCCGGTTGAGCCCCCAAATTGTAGGCCTTTTCTTGTTTGTTGTCTAGGGGTGGGGGTTGGTTTCAACAATAAAAACACATTATTAAATATTAATAATATTTGGCGCACTTTAATTGCACTGACCGACCGATTGAATGGATTTAGGTTAATGACTAGGCACATTTAACAGCGGAGCACCACCACAGTACAGCCTTCAACTAGCAACTAGGTACACAATGAACTCGTAAAATCACCAACTTCGTCTTAGAATCGTCATCAAAATGTTTATACGTCTTCTCGTCTTTTAATTAATATAATTATCACGTCTTTAATAATTATAGACCACGCGACACGTCCCGTCACGACTGGCCAAGCAACACGTCTTACGTCTTATAATGGTTGTTGCCGACTGCCCCCTGACTTCTCTGACTTCCACTTATTGTTGCCACTTGCCAGCTACCCCCCTCTCATCTCCACTACCCTCCTAGCCTATACCTGCGCCTAGTCTATTTTTAGAATCAAGGTCAACTTTTAAAAGAGATGCATTATAATAATTTATTATGGAAATATTGAGGAGTTTTCGAATGACACATTTTTGTATTAAATAATTAATCCTACAATGATATGATTTTTTTTTTTTTTAAATGTCATTTTTTGACAGGTTCAAACTTAAAAAAAAAAAAATTTTTTTCAAACGTCATTTTTTGACATATAAAAAAAATAAAAAAATTTAAACGAATTTTTTTTTTCTTTTCCAAGTGTCATTTTTTTTTTGACAGGTCCAATATGATTTTTTTTTAAATGTCAATTTTTGACAGGTCCAATCTTATAAAAAAAAATATTTTTTTCAAATGTATTTTTTTTTTTTGACAGATCCAATGACACCTATAATTTTTTTTTTTTTTTTTTTTTTGATAGGTCCAATAATATGAATTTTTTATTTTTTTTTCAAATGTCTTTTTTTTTGACAGGTACAATGATATGAATTTTTTTTTTTTAAATGTCATTTTTTGACAGGTTCAAACTTAAAAAAAAAATTTTTTTTTTCAAACGTCATTTTTTGACAGGTCCAATCCTATAAAAAAATTCAAATGAATTTTTTTTTTTTGACAGGTCCAATGACACCTATAATTTTTTTTTGTGTCATTTTTTTTTTGACAGGTCCAATATAATTTTTTTTTCAAATGTCATTTTTTGACAGGTCCAAAGTTATAATTTTTTTTTTTTTTCAGGTAAGTAGCAGCACATTTTGGCAAAAGTATTATTTAGTTATTTTTGCGTTCAGCCACAGCCCTCTATACTTACAAGCCATGAAGTTGGAAATAACGGCAACGTCGCCAATGGTGCTTTTTTGCTATTGAGGTTATATGTTTCTGTGTATTGTTTTCATTGTTTATTGCTAGAGTGAGGTGCATTTTCAAACGAAAAAGTGGCTAGAAACACCAATATATTGTTTACTTACTGTTTATATTTGGTTTATACCTGTTATGCCATTATTAGTTGTGTTTTGATTGTGAATTTATAGCAAATACTGCAATCGGTACAGGAGCAAAAATTAAGGTGAGTTAAGGTAAAAGCAAATAAAAACAATATAATATTTGTTTCCACTTTGCAAAGTGCAAGAGCACATGTATAGGTCTCGATATTATTATTATCTAAGATATTTAAACTTGTTCCAAATGCCAAGAAACTGCTGTGTGCCGAGGTGCAAATCCAACTATAGGAGTTCCCTGAAGACTGAGGAACTGCAAACAACATTTTCATTTCCAAAAACTTCCGAATTACAGAAATTATGGCTAAAAGCTATACACCGAGATAATTATACGGTAACAAAAAATTCTGTAGTGTGTGCGAAACATTTTGATGTTATGTGTGTAAGTTTGCAGGAAATTAACAATTTCAAATTTGTTCTGCATAGTGATTATTTAAAATTGTACAGCAATTTTAATGACTCTGTGCAGGAATACATCTGTGGATACGTGGCTCGATCAGTTTTGAAGAATAATAAATGTGATAAATGTCAAAGTTTAGTAGTTCTAGCAAAAGGCATCCAGACGGATCATACATATTTTAATTCTCTGCAGAGAGGGGGTCTCTGTATTGCCACTCAAGAAACCAAGTTTATTTATTTTCATCTTTGTGCTATCTTCGAGTATATAATTAATAACAAAGATCTTGAAAGTATGTTCCTGAAAACAAATGATCATCATAATTTATTATCGCAGCTTACTTTATTAGTTTTAGAGTCCGATACCTTTAATATTGACTTGAACAAAATTTGTGAATGTGGTGCTAACTCAAAAAAAATTTACTCCTTTGCTTCTTTGATAATGAGTAATATTATTTTAAACAACTACACAAAATTTAAAAATAGTGAATGTCATAAAAATAAAACAGATTCAAGTAAAAAAAGAAAACTAACCACTTTGAAATAGAAAAAAAATGTACCTAGGTACTAAAAATAATAATAGAGGTATGTTTTAAGGGTAGCTTTCCCGAATTCTTAGAAAGTATTTATTTTTTTAACATGATAGGTAGTTGCTAGTTGTATAGAATTGTTTGACAAGACCTTGTACATATAAAATAGATATAGGATTATAACACTTTAGAATCTAGTAATATATTTATTTAAACCAATTATTTACTGTTCTTATTTACACAAATATTTATATTATTCATTGAATTACTGTTTTTACTTTTTAGTACAATATGATGCATTTTGTGTGATTAATATGTACAAAATATTGGTAATATTACAATAATTTTACTAACTACTAATATTTTTTCAAAGAAAACTACTTTTTTATGTAATTGAGATAAGAATTCATATCATCAATAAAAGTAAATAAACCATACGCGGAATTGAGGTTAAATAAAACAGCACCACTTGGCGGTAAGATTGCGGTGTTGCCTTTTTAACTTCATGGCTTGTAAGTGTAGAGGGCTGTGGTTCAGCCCATTACCTAAAATATTAAATCATACCTAGTGATTTATATACAATTTTTACACACTGGTTTTATATGACAAATACATACTATATTTCCTTTATGAAAAACATTCAATTAATTTGCGTCAGCGTTAATAAAGTCGAATTTGCCAAAAGCAGTTTAATAGAATCGAAGCCCAATTCACCCAATTTTTATAAGCTCATAACTTTCTTGTTTTTGGACCGATTTTCAAAAACAAAAAATGATTTTGTAGATATTTTTATTGGCAACAATTTTGCTGTCTTGTAATTTTTCAAAAAAGTTCATAGTTTTTGATATATTTCCAAAGAAATAAAAAAAGCACAATTTTTTGAGTTTAAAGCCCGATTGGGCGAGTACGGCACATGCGATTTAGTGCGATTTTTAAGGAAACATTGTCGACCACCTAAAAAAGGTTTCCTGAAAATTTCAGCTTGTCCCAAATTTGTTTCGGGTTGGACCCCTAGTTTTACTGGCCTATGTTGGCTGATATAGAAACAGAGGAAAAATTTGTCATCATGTGTCAAAGTCGACAGGTGCACTTATTGTTGCTTGACAATTATTTTTACTTTTCCGCACTCAGTGCGGATACAGGCCTTATCCGCACTGATTGCGGAAAAGTGTAACTTTGAGAACGGAAATGCGTGCGAAAAAGTACTTCTTTGCGCACGCTCGTAGGAAAAGAATTTTTCAAGTTTCAGATAAACGGGGAAAAAAGTGCACATTTATCACACCTCATAACTTTTCTCAGAAGAGTGTGCAAAATTGTCTAAAATTAGATGAAACGGTAGTCCTGACAACCTGCCTACCTCTCGACCCGTCATATTTTGACAGCTGTCAAAAATTACATTTGACAGCTGTTGAATATTCCAAATTGTATTATTATCCGAACTTTAACTGTATGGAAAATTTCAGCAAAATGTATTGCGAAGAAATGGTTCACAAATCCGCATCTGTCACATTTGACAATTGACACCTGTCATTAGTGGTTTAAAATGTATTATCACCCGAACATAAAATGTATGCAAAATTTCAGCAAAATTCGTTGCGAAATAATGGTTCAAAAATCTGCACCTATCACATTTGACAGTTGACAGTGTTGACACCTGTCATTGGTGGTCTAAAATGTATTATCACCTGAACTTGAAGTGTACCTATGCAAAATCCGTTGTGAAGAACTGGCTTAAAATCTGCAACTGTCACAATTTGACAGTTGACACCTGTCATTAGCGGTCTGAAACCTTCTTATCATTATTGCATTTCATTTGAAGTACATCGGTCGGATAGTTTCAAAGTCTATAACGGACATAGGTAGACACACAGACAGACAGAAACAATTTTTATGTTTTACACCTCTATTAGTAATAGAAAATTACTACCCACGAAAGTACATAACTATTTACCTATTTATTATTTTGTTTTTAATTATAATAATATTTTTATTCTATGGTAGGTATATGTATAAAAAGTACCTATATAAAACACAGGCATTTAATTTGTTATATAAAAGACAACTTGGCAACGCAGCCTAGCAAATACGCGTGCATTTAGTGCTACAAATTAATTTAATCGCAGAAACGACTGATTTTACTAGGACACTAGCGCCATCACGCAGGTTTATATTTTCGCCGCCGGACGGCTCTTTTAGAGACGTTAGTCTATAATATTCTTTGGTATAACAAAATGTTCCCTACAAATAAATTTGTTTAATGGTTTCGGATCAATGCACAACCTTAAAGATTTATCTGGCTTTTCAACTAATAGAAGACTATTTACCCATTGGGTCGTGTTGCGGAAATAACCCACAACAAGTTTAAAATGTTATTATTTGTAGTTTATCAATATAATCAATTTCTATTATTTATCATAAAAATAATATTCTAAAAAAAGATTCCTGTAAAACTGGCAACAGCAGCCCTTTTGAATCGGTAAAATTACAGATTTCTTCATTACCCTATGAGCAATGGATCTATTTTGTTGTTGTGATTGGTCAGTTGCCACCCAACATCCCTGATTTATGCGACCTGCTCCGAAAAAGGCAGTCGACTCGACGCACGGCACGGTACACAACAGTAGTAATCAAGAAGCAGAAGAGTAAGCAAAGACTCTGCACCCTCTCGCCTCTGAACGCTCTACAGAGGAAAAATCCCCCAGAAAACCCCCGTTAGTACGCGAATTATAGTAAAATACTACTCCCAGTGTCTCAAGGCCTGACATGGCCTATATTATCAACGATATTATTGATTACAATTCATGTAATTAACCCCTAAATTGTTGCAAGTCATCTCGGACCTAGCAAAATTCTCTACTACGCCTGTTTAAGGTTATTCCTGTCTCACTCTCGACAGGCTTCAACTCTGTATATCATTGTGTTCTCTCTCTTAGTGGAAAATCCCTTAGCTGACAGTGCAAATTACTACGAATAGTGATAAATGGATAAATAATCACTA